AAGTCTTAAAGTGGCCAAGGTTGGACACCCCTGCTCTAAATCCATCCATCCACCCTTAGAAAGGCCCCCTGGAGGGAGGGGGCAGAAGGCAAGGCTCGAAGGGACAAGGAAAGCAGCCAGGGCAGGGGGATTGGCAAGGGGAACCAGGCAGCGGGGGAAAAAAAAGGGGCCCCATTTTGACTTCTCCAATATCGGGGCCCTTCCGGAACATTCTGGGACATCAGAGCCAACCCAGGACAACTCGCCACAGGGCAAACTCGCCGAGAGACCATTCAACAAATTCGGTTTTTAAAAAATCACTTTAATCTTTTTTTCCCCCTTCCCATTTCATTTTTCTCCCTCCTTTTGACCTCCCTTCCTTTCGTGATTTTATTCCTCTCTTTCTTCGGTAGTCGTGTTAACTTCTGTCCCGTGGCGAGTGACTTGCCGTAAACCAGAGGTCCCCAAACTTGGCAACTTTAAGTACTTGTGGACTTCAACTCCCAGAATTCTGTGCTGGCTGGAGAATTCTAGGAGTTGAAGTCCACAAGTCTTAAAGTGGCCAAGTTTGGGGACCCCTGCCGTAGACCCACCAGGAGGCCCCCCCAAACCTTTCTGGCCCTCCTGCCAGGCACCAGTTGCCTTCCCACGTGGGCAGGCTCAAGCCTCCACCCCACGGGCCCTCCGAGCCCTCGCCTCAGGAGCCCAAACCAAAAACGCCCAGGAGGGCCGCCCTCTCGGGGTGCCGGGGGCCCAGCCTCCGGGGCCCAGGGCTGCAGCTGTCCCAGGCCCCTTTGGAGGGTGGGGGGCCTCGCAAAAGGGTCCGGGTTTTCACTCCTCTCTCCTCCCCCAGCCCCATTTCCTGTAGGGGCAGAGCAAGCGAAGGCGGATTTTCTGCGCTGGCCTGAGATGCGGCCCTGCCTTGCCCCTTCGGGGGGCTTCCCCTCAGCTTCCCTGGGTTACCCATTCAAGTCCTTGGATCAATTAAAGTGGCGCTCTAATTAAAACGGGGCGGCCGATTTCCCCCACCTCCACCCCGCGCGTTTCATGAAAGGGTTTCGGGAACTCCAGGTGGCCTTTTGCAAAGCCAGCAAGGGGGGGAAGGGGGCGAGGGAGGGGGAGGGCGGCACTCCTCTGATGATGCCCTTCCCTGATCCCAAGGCACAAAGGAGGAAAATGCTTTTACTCTCAAACTGTTGCCCAAACTGGGACCTTGGCATGCAAATCCCGCCGCCAACCCCACAGATTGATGTAACCGACAAGGAATTTAAAAAAAACAAACCCACCTTTTATTTATTTCTCAAATTGGCAGCCCTCCCCTCCCCAGTTATTTATTCCACGGCTTATATATGGGCTAAACCCTTTCACTGCAGTAAGCGGATAGGAAAGGGCAGCTATTGGCAATCAAATCTAGCACCCCCGTAAAGTTAAATGGATGGGCCTGCCCCCTAAACAGAAAGCGACCTGCAAGTAAGGGCCATGCCTGCCACCTTGGGGACAAAAGCAGCAAAAGGCTGTAAAGGCCTCGGAGACTGGGACTCTTTGCTTGGCCTTGAAATGGGGGGGGGTCGGAGGGAGGGAGGCAGCAGCGAGAACAACTTTCTGGGGTGCCACACGCTCTACGTTTGCCCCCCGCCCCACAAAGGCTGCAAGCAGCGTCTCTGCCCCGAGCCAGCAGAGATCGGACTCGGGGGCTCCTGGATAGTCCCATGGGGTGGTAGGGGTCTCATCCATTCATGGAAGCAGCAGCCCTTTGGTGCCTCCAAGAAGCAGCGGGAGCCGCAGACGAGTGAGCCCCTACAGGTGCTCTGAGCCCAGGCTCTGGAGCAGGTTGTCAGAATGTTCATGAACTGGCAGAGACATGGTTAACAAGGTCAGCCAATGGGAGCTGAATTGGGGGCGGGGACTGGGCGGAATCTAGGCGTGGTTTCTCTCTGCTCCGTGCTCAGCTCTGAGGAAACTGAAACTTGCTTGCTTGCCTGCTGAACTAAAGTGAAACCATTTTGCTTCTCTGCTTGTGTTTTGCCTGTAACTTTCTCCCCGTTGGAAGAATCTACAATTGGTATTGTAAACTTTACTTAGCATGTTATTACGTATATAAAGAAGTGAATGAATCCTGCTGAAACAGCCATCTGCGTCTTTTCTGAATTTGAAATTCTAACACAGGTGGGCTCAGGACCCTCCACACCTGCCACTTTGTCGACCGAGAGGGCGCTCAGGGGTGCCCTTGGCCCCTTCCACAAGAGTCCCCCCTTGCCCCCCCCTCCCCCAGGGACCAGAACGAGTGTGTCACTGACCTCGGACATCTGGGGGAAGAGGCTGATGGCCAAAGGCAAGGCAAGGCCGAAGGCGGCAAGGCACACGAGGCTTTGGACTGGGAGAAACAGCCGAGGTCGGGAGCGCAGAAAAGCCGTCCTGGAAGACAAGACAGATGTCACCGTCAGACAGAGAAGCCCACAGGGACCCCCTTCCCTGCCCCCACTCACAGCCCCCCTAGAAGACACTGCAATTTAGCCCCCAAGGGGCCTGCGGTGGAGGAGAGGCCGTCTGCAGAAGGGACTCTCTCTTGGGCGAGGGTCTGGCCCTCGTCACCCACCCTGGCCAGAAAAGGCCCCGATCGCCTGTCTTTGCTAGCCAGCCAACCAGCCAGCCTCTCTCCTCTTCAAGGACCCACGATGGGCAAACCAGGAAGCTGGATGAGTTTCCGGAAGACTTCCTTTGCCCCCAGTGGAGTTGAAGGAGGGAGGCAATGACGGCTGCCCCTCTGGACCCCTTTAAGAGGGGATGGACAAGACAGCAAAGGCTCCTAGTGACCCCTTCCCGGCTCTAAAGGACCCTTGACAATTGCCCCCCTTGCGCCCAGAGGGCGGGAGCAGCACCGAGGGCAGCCGGTTCTTCTGAAGTGTTGCTGCCCCCTCCCTGCCCGGGCGGCCTTCTCTTCCCCTCCCTCGTCCTCCATCCCTGAGACCTTTGGCAAAGGGTTCATCACCTCCCTAGTTGGGCAATACACTGAGACGCTGGCCTTGCCAAGGGGCCACCATGTCTAAGGGCCCCGGAGAAACCAGAGCCATGGAGGCAGGGCAGGAGGACATAGGCGGTCGCCCCTCCCTTCAGGGACATCCCTTCCTTCTGCCGGCAACCGGGTTTTTCTCCTCTCAGGGTAACCCATCCCCTGTCTGTGTACCTGATGCAGGTGGCCGGTGTCCCTTGGAAATTCTACCCGGCACCCTCGCCACCAAAGCTGACAGCCCACTGGAGCCCAAGTGGGACACGCCTGGCCTCTCTGGGATGCCGCCTCTTTTCCCCAGGCCACAACCCCCATTTCCTTTTTGGGGGGGGGGCTGCTGCCACTTAATTGAAGCCGTTGGGCTCCCCCCACCCCCCACCCCACCCCCGTGCATTTCTACAGGGAACAGAACCAATTTAGAGAGTCTTGCCTTGGTGAGGCTTGGCTCCCAGGTGTGACTTCCACCCTGGGTGTTTTAAACTCAGACCAATTCAGATCGCAATGGCTATGGGCCTCCTAATTAGAAGGCGTTTTATGGCCCGGATTAAAGAAAAAGCCTTAATTATCACATCAAGTGTAATGTCTTAATTGGGACTTAGATCTCCGCGTTGGCAAAGTTCAGACAAAATGACTCACAATTAGCCAAGAGGGAGGCTCACACACACACACACACACCCAGCCTTCAGTTCCCGGCTCTTAAAAACCGCAGCAAGCCGCGGATGCTGCCTGCAAGGGTGCCACCCTGATCCTGCACACCAGCCAGGGCAAGCCTTGCCCCCCCCCCCCCCCCCGGCCTCTGCCCCCCCCAACCCCCCCCCCCCCGCTTTCTTTGCCAGGCGAAAGAGCCGGTCAGCTTTGGAGGTCAGCTTTGGAGGGAGGCTGTGAGAAGCCCAAGGGGGAATCCGGTGGAGCTACGGCCGTTTTCATTATCTAGGGAGGTTCTCCATCATCCAGCTCAGGGTTGTTCCAAAGGCAGGTGGACTTCCTTGGGTTCCCCCCCCCCCCTTGAAGACGCTTTGCTTCTCATCCAGGGACCTTCTTCAGTTCAGTTTTTCTCCAGAACTGAAGAATCTTCTTGGATGAGAAGCGAAGCGTCTTCAAGGGGAAAAAAAAAAAAAAACCAAGGAAGTCCACCTGACTTTTGGAAAAAGCACCTTGTCAGAGTATATTTGTGAACTGGGACAGAGCTAAGTAACAAAGTCGGTCAACGAATAGGCGTGGCAACGGACCAGCCAATGAGAGCTGAACTGGAAAGTGACACTAGATCTCTATTTACATTAACCGCATGGTGTCATTAATAATACATATATTTGCATTTATTCCTACACATTAATTCTTCTTTCTGTGTTCTACCCATTTATACCACCTATCCCAAACCGCATAATATTCTTGCCTTTTAATTCCACTGTGAATTTATCCACAGAGATTCGTAATTTTTAAAAAAATAAATTAAATTAAATTTTTTTTTTTTAAAAAAAAGGAAAGTGAAACTAGAAGCGGCCTGGGTGTGGCTCTGGTCTCTGCTCTCAGCTCTGAAGCTGCTGTTTGTGTTTTGCTTGTGTTACGTCAGAAGAATCTACTATTGGTATTGTACATTTTACTCGTGTTATGATGTATATAAAGAAATTAATGAATCCTGCTTGCTGAATCAGACATTTATATGTGTGCTTTCTGGATTTGAATTTCTGCTGCAAAATCTGACACACCTTTGGAGCATTCTCATTGCAGCCGGTCACAAAGCCAGGGTTAGAAATTACTGGATGCCGTTAACTTCAGGGAGGCTCCTGGAAGCTCAGCTTGAGCAAAATAGAAGTTGCGGTCCTTCTGTGAGGCAGGCTACTCTGACCCAAGCCTCGTTCAAATCAAACAAACACAAAGTATATGTAAAAGCAAAGCTTTTTTTAATGCTTCTCTGTGAATTCTGTTCATTCGCAGCAAAGAGTCATTAAAACTAATTGTCCCAGGCTTCCGGTTTGAGTTCCTTCGGCGATAGACAGAAATCCGCGATCGTGCATGGTTTCGGTCCAGGCTCGCCGCTGGAGCGCCCCGAGCCGGCTGGTTTCGGGGCTAAGCCACCCCATAGAGGTGGTGAAGAGGGGGGAGACTGCCAGCAGGGTTGAGGAGAGCCGCATCTCTCCTCCTCAGCTGGCCATTACTCCCTTTCCTGAAGGTGGTTGCAGCGGTGGTCAGAAATGGCCACCACAAAGAAGAACTCGACCAGAAAAGAATGTGCAGGAGGAAGATAAGAAGTGAAAGTTTTGGCTGACCGGGTTAAATTACAAAAGCAACAACTAAGGTACCCTGGAATTTAAACTTACAAAAAAATAACATCGCTCCCAAAGAAGAGTCGGAAGCAGAGAAGGAAAGTGAAAAGGGAAAGGTTTGGGTTTTTTTTTTCTTCTCTCTCTTTCCCTATACTGACAACTAAGAGACTTAAATAAGAAATCGGAAAAATCCGTTTTGACATCAATAGGCAATTAAGCTGAAAATAAAACAAAATGTCAAAAGGGATAATAAAGATTTCTGGACACTAAATTTTTTTTTCATAAGCAGGAAAGGAGAGAAAAAGAATAAAAGGGCTGGAAAGAGGGAGGAGACTGCCTGGAATTAAAAAGAATCTACAGTAAAACTTCAACAAGACTTCTAAAAGATACATTTTAACTGAAACTTTGCAACTAAATAGTAGAACCCCAGGAAGAGAAAGTGAAAAAAAGAGCAAAAAGAAACAGCTTGCATGTATTTGGATTACTTGGTGATCTTTGGATTCTTGGTTATTGCATTTGAATGACTAAAATTAATTGGGTGGTTGTTTAAAAATTTATACAATGGCACTACTTCTGGATGAATTGAAAATGGAACTTAAAAAGTATAAAGAAGATGCACAAGAAGGGAAGGGTTCTTTTGGCTTCGTTTTTCAATTCTTAGAAATGGAGATTTAGAACTATGAGAAACAACAAGAAAAGACTGCAAAACAAGAAGACTGGGACAAAGAAGAAGCCATCTTTAATGAACAAGTAATTCTATGTGGGGAAGAAAAAGGAAAGGGGGGAAAGAGAATGGAGAATTTAAGACTTAAAAAAACAACCAAAAAAAAGAAAAATAATTCAAAAAATAAGTATAATACTGGAAAGCAACAGAAGAGGGGAATACAGAAGAGAGAAATAGAGGTAGAGAGACAAGGGGGTAAAAAGGGGAGAGAGAAGAAGAGAGGGAAGAAGGAAAGGATAAGAAGTTATAAAGGACCAGAACAAGATATAGAGAAACAGGACCTATTTAGAGATAATGGGTGAAAATTTAACTGAAAAAGGGATTCTGTAAAGGTACATAAGATTGTATTGTTATATTAGTAATAGAAATAACGTTAGAAAATTGGAAACAATGTATGATTAAAATGAGGGATAAAATAGTTAGTGTAATTTAGTGAAATGTTTGTTAATAAAATAAGTGAAATAAAATAAATGAGATAATTGAATTAGGAAGGGACGGGAACATTTTAATTATGGAAAGCTTATAATTGTTCCCATAGAAGTATGATATTTAATTGAAAAGTAATGTTAAAGAAGTTAAGACTTTTATGAATATTAGTATTAATGATAGAATTGAATTGGAATGGAATGTGTTGTTTTAATTACATATACTTATATATTTTTCTTTTTTAAAGAATATAGTGTGTATTTTAAGAATGTACCAAGCAGAATCCGAATGGAAGTTATGTATTATATTGAATGTTATAACTTTAGGGTATATATTGAAGCCTAAATAAGAGTTAAATGGATAAACTTAAAAGATATAAAGGCGTCATACTCCAATCAGTAACTACAGGAGAAACTTTGTTTAATGAGAAAAGATAATAGATAATTGAAACAGGACAGACAAAAAATATAAATATAATGATTTGAATTGAGACGAGATAATTAAAATAAAATTGAGAAAATTAAAAGAGGGGAGAAGCTATGCAGAAAATGTAAAACAGTAATAAGATATGGAATAGAACATAAAAATGAGCATGAAATTGAATTTGTGTCTGTACAAAGAAATGTAACCCAGGATTATGCTATTTTCAAAAAAGATGTTTTATTTGTATTTTTTTTTGTGAAAACTCAAATAAAATTTACAAAAAAACAACAACTAATTGTCCCAGATAAGAGCAAGCCCTTTCAAGGTTGCGAAAGGCTGCCAAGAACACAAGAGTAATTGCAGAGAAATATCCAAAGCCAGGAGTCTCCGAAAACAAACCAGAATAAACAGGACTCCCACGAGAACTTTGAGTTGAAAGAATTTCTTTTCTTCCTGCAAAGAAGCCAACCCCAAAGGCTGGCTTTTATCCCTTATGGGAGGAGCCATCACCTTGCAGTCTTACTCCCAAATCGCCCGTGCTGCTTCAGCTGCTCTTTCCTTCGAGCAGACCTGCACGCACGCGCACTGGGCACAGGCACCTTTCCTTCGTCACTGCTGCCAGACTCCACAAGCTCCGATAGTCCTGGCCCCTTCGCTGCATCACACACAGGCCCCTCATCCGAGTCCTCACTATCAGAGATCTCAGCCGTCCGCACCTGCTGCCGGCGAACCACAACACAGGCGGACTAAATCTGGTATCACCCTCATCAACCTCGTCTTAGCCACTGTCTACCCACCACAGAATGAAGGCCTCTTTCCCATGTCTCCAACCAATCCAATATATAAATAAATAAATTACATGGAAGGAAAGCCAAAGTGCCCCGCCTGTAAGGCCCAGGAGCCTCCCCACCCCGTGGGCAAAGGCCCCCCAAAAGGCCCCCTGAGTTTAGGCTGATGGCGGAGAAGGCGCCAAACGCTCCCTGCAGGAGCTCCATCTGAACAGTCAGAGGGCATCCAGTGAGGGCAGGAAACAAACCCACTTGAGCACACAGGCATTCCTTGACTTATGACCACAATTGAGCTCAACATTTCTGTTGCTAAGCGAGACAACGGTGAAGTGAGTTTTGCCTCACTTTACGACCTTTCTTGCTATAGCTATTTAAGTGAACCGCTGCGGTTGTTAATAACATGCTTGTTAAGGTCGCAAAGGGGGGATCAGGTGACCCCAGGACGATTGCGACAGTCATAAATACGAGACAGTTGCTGGGGAACCACCTTCCCCAGACAGTCTCCTCGGGAGCAAGGCAGGAGGAGAAGGCAAAGGTTCACGTGCTCCAGCTACCAGCAAAGACAGGAAACGGTGTATGGAAAAGTACGGAAAAGGATCCCCGTAAGCCTTAACTCCAGTGTTGGTTGCATGTGCGAATGGCTGCTTTCCCACCGTGCAGAGGCCAGGGGCCCTTCTCTGCCGGGGCCTGGATGGGAGGAGGCTTTCCGGGATCAAGGCCAGCCTGCAGCCCACCCAGGTCAGTGCTCGTCAGCCCACTCCACGCAGACCCTGCAACCTGCTTTAGAGGAAGGGTCTCCAAACTTGGCCACCTTAAGACTCGTGGACTTCCACTCCCAGAATTCCACAGCCAGCCGGAATTCTGGGAGCGGAAGTCCACGAGTCTTAAAGTGGCTAAGGTTGGAGACCCCTTGCTTTGGAGGCCTGGTTTGATGAAAAGGAGAGCAGCTGGCATTGGCCCAAATTTCCTTGGGGTTCCCAGAATACTTTTAAAAGTGGCCCTTAATACTTGGGGGGGGGGGGGGGCACCCGGGGGGGCCACACAGGGGGGGGGGACAGACATAGTGGAAGGGGGGGGGGGTGTCACTGGGCGCCTAGTCCCACCTGAGGGGCTTCTGCTGCTTCTCTGCTAAGAGCGACCAAGTGCCCTTCTTCACAGCAAGGGCCTCTGGGGGCTGGTCCCTCCCCGAAGCCCCTTCCTCTTGTGGCCAGGGGTCTCAGGAGGCAGGAAGCCCCTTCCAAAAGCCCAAGGGTGGGGGGGGGGGGGGGAAAGCCAAGGCCCCCCCCCCGCCCACGAAGGGACCCGGAGAGAAGGATGGTGCAGACGGTGCATCTGTGCTGCAGACACGGCATGTCACCGAGCTTGAATGCGCACCTTCCTTCACGTTTCAGCACATGGCTGATTAGCGGTTCATGTTCTGCATAATGTGGCAGCTGTCGCTGGCATTTTCGGAGGGCCTGCAATGCTTTCCATATGGAAGTTGCTCTCGGGACGCCCAGGCGTTCTCAGGTTCGGTGCTTCAGACCGGCATGTGCCTCGGAGGAGATGGAGGCGCTGAGTGGGCGATAGCCGGGGCTCAGGGCAGGCGCCGAAGCTGGCAGATTCAGGGTGGGACAGGAAGGGCCATGTTTATAGTCAACACGGCTGCCATCGATGTCTCATCGGTTAGAGCATGAAATGGGGAAATGAGGGGCCCTTGGTGTTCTCTGAGCTGGGAGGAGGGTTTCTTGCAGCCATCTCATTATCCAAACTAGGTAACATCATCAGCACTAGAAGGGAGGGGGAGGAGGAAGAGGAGGGGGGAGGAGGAGGAGGGGAAGGAGGAAGGGGATTGTGAGGTCCTTGGTAATCTTTCAGAGGGACGTGGTGGCTCAGTGGCTAAGACGCTGAGCTTGTCGATCAGAAAGGTCGGCAGTTCGGCAATTCGAATCCCTAGCGCCGCGTAACGGAGTGAGCTCCTGTTCCTTGTCCCACCTTCTGCCAACCTAGCAGTTCGAAAGCGTGTTAAAAAAAATGCAAGTAGAAAAATAGGGGCCCCTTTGGTGGGAAGGGAACAGCGTTCCGTGCGCCTTATCGGCGTTTAATCATGCTGGTCACATGACCATGGAGACGACTTTGGACAATGCTGGACTCTCTGGCTCTGAAACAGAGACGAGCAGTGCCCCCTAGAGCCAGAAACAACCAGCACGCAGGTGCGAGGGGAACCTTGACCTTGACTGGTGCTCTCAGAGTTTCGTGGTTTTCGTGCAGATGTTTCAAATTAGGTAATGTCATCAGTGCTAGCTTGGGTCATGAAACGTCTGCAAGAAAACCACCCAGCTCAGAGATCACCAAGGAGCCCCCAGTTCAACCCTGAGCTACAAAGACTCTCCTTGATGGAATGGGGGAAGGCGGGCGTTTCTGGGGTAGCAAAGGGGGCCCTTGTGGGTGTCCCCCACTCCGACTGCTGAGCCCCTGGTCGAGGACAGTCTGCCTCACTCTCCCCCATGCCCTGCTCCAACGAGGAAGGCCCCCTCCCCAACCACAAGGTCCTCAACGCTCAAAGGATACGAAACCTTCAAGGCCCGCTTGAAACGAGGGATCCCTGTGAACCCCCAAAGCTGCCTGCAAGACGGGGGGAGGGGGTTCTCTTCTCAGCCACTGCCTTTTCTCCCCTCTGCTGCTGAAGCCACCGTCCCCCAAGGAGTCAATCCAGCTTCAGGGGCTCCCGCAGGGTTCACATAAGCAGCAGCCTCAGGGTCAGAGTTACCCAAGTGTGGATCCTCTGCTTTACAGGAAGCCCCTCCCCCCCCCCCCCCCCCGTTCTCCCCCACCACACACACATCAGGCACATCCTTTGCCTGCAGGAGGCCAAAGGCGCAGGGTGCTGGGAAAGGCAGTGTCCCCCCCCATCCACGAGGATCGGGCAGTGGGGAGGGGGACTGAGCACCCCACTCTCTTTTCCTGGGAATCTGAGCCAACTACAGCAGCAACAACAGCGGCATTTCCCATCTGCGGACACGGACACACACACACACACACCCCTGCACCAAGTGGGGAACCCAGAATAGGCGCCACTGAGCCCAGCTGGCTGCTTCCCCAGGGAGCCAAGAGGAGACTGTGGAGCGCCCACAGCAGGAGGGGACGAGAAGACTCTTCCTGAGGAGGGAAGGAGGAAATATCAGGGGTGGGCACACATACTCCGGAGAGAAGGCAGGCCCAGGGAAGAGGGAACGGAGGGGAACGGAGGGGAAGAGACGCAGCAGGTCTGAAGGGCCTCCCCCCTTTCCCGGAGGGTATGCCAAGAGAGGTGTAGGAACCAAGGCAGGCGGGAGGAGCAGGGAATGGAGGAGGCCAGGAACATCCTTGGTCAACCCAACTTTTACTTCCATGATTGAGTTCAGCTGATTCGAAGTTCTATCTTTATTCTTTTCTTTTCCATTTTGTTTCCTTTCTTCCTTTTTTCCTTTCTTCTTCTTTATTTTAGTTTTTTTTTTTTCATTTTTAAAACTTTCAGCAACACTAAGTCAAACTACAATATATAGAGGTTTGATTAACGCAGACTGGGAGAGAACACAGCGGGTGGGCGGGAGGATGACGAAGATCCGTAAGGATGCGGCAAAGCTTCTTTTACTCAGTGTGAACACTGAAAACTCTTTAATCGCACAATCTACGACAGTCTCCACCACAGTTTCAACTGGGAAAAAAATCTAAAAATGCTAAGGAATTCCTCTTGGCATTCAGACAAATCAGCCATCAACAGACACATAGTGATGAGCCAAATTTACACACTCAAGAGACACAAAAAGGTTTAAGAAGGAGGGGAAAAAAAAAATCAGAACACACATTCTCCAACAGCCAGCACCAAGATAAGCAGGGATCAGCACCAGGCAAACAATATGGGTGGAAAACAACCCCAAAATCAAAGTAACTACAAGGAGAAAACCATATACCCACCAATACTGCAGTGCAAACCTCTCTCTATATATATAAACAGGGAGCAAACCCCACATTCATTTGCACTGTTTGATGTTACCTAGGAAGGTATTGAAACTTCTTCAGAACAACCGAGCTCAGGGTGCACCAACGGACTCCACAGCTCAACCCTGAGCTACACGTGCTGTCTTTCTACCGTTTTTGCTATATTGTACATTTCTCAGACACGCATGGTTCTTTCATCCTTTAGTTTTATGGTTCTGCTTTAATTATAAGCCGGCTGTCCAGAGTTGAGTGGCTTCTAAATTTAATTTTAAAAAAATAAATACACCGAAACGAAGGAGCTTCTCATCAATTATGCAGATGCCCCAAAAGTGGACGGACCCAAGAGGACGGAATGTGACGGCAACCGGAGTGGCTGGAAGTTGATGTAATAGCACGTTGCTTTGCATAAGGGCTCCCCAAACTTGGCCACTTTAAGACTTGTGGACTTCAACTCCCAGAATTCTCCAGCCAGTCCACAAGTCTTAAAGTGGCCAAGTTTGGGGACAACCACTGTAGACCCACCAGAAGCACACACACACACACCCATTCTGGCCCTCCTGCCGGACACCAGTTGCCTTCCCATGCAGGCAGGCTTAATCTCCACCCCACGGGCCTGGGGAATTCTGGGAGTTGAAGTCCACAAGTCTTAAAGTGGTTTGGAGACTTCTGCTTTGCGTTAACAAAACAAGCGTTGGCGAATATGACACCCCCAAAACATCCCTCTGCCAGCCTGCCCCCTCCCTTCCCTTACAGTCCTCCCCAGTGCCATCTGCGCCCCACTTACTTCTCCAGGAGGGACATGATGATGGGAGGCAGAACCAGGATCGGCATCGGCAGGACCACTCTGGTGAGCGCCGTCTCCAGCAGGGCCTGGGGAGACACGGTGGGTGACCACTTCAGATGTGCCGCTTGCCCTCCTGCCAGAAAGAGCGGGGCTCCGCGTGGCGTGGGGGACACGGCCTCTCTCTCTCTCTCTCTCTCACCCGCCACAAGGAAGAGCCCCACGGGGGTTAGGGCTGGGTCAGTCTCACCCCCCCACGGATCGTGTCTTCCACGGAGGCAGGACGGAACGGCGGAGTCCCCGCTCTGAAGGGCCCTGGCAGGTTGCAGCTGAAGGAACAACTTGGGAGGGCACAAGGTGGAGCATCCCGAGAATGTTGTGGTTGCGCAGATGGGCCCTTCCTAAGGCTGTGCCCACCCTGGTGCCCTGGGCATGCCTTACTGGGCACCTCCTTGCCTGATGGGACGAGGGCTGAAAGGGCGAGCCGTTGCTCTTAATGCCCAGCCCTGCAAGTTTGCAAAGGTGCCCTCGAAGTGCCCGTCCACATTCTGAGCACATTCTGGTCCACAACCTGTTGTCATGCCCCTGTTGGAGTCTGAATCCAAGGAGGAAGATGAACAGCTGACAGGGAGTGGGAGTGTGGCTCCGTTGGCTGTGGAGGAAACTGGGGAGGGGCAAAGTCCAGCTGGCAGAGCAGGGGAGAGGTAGAACAGGGAAGCGGGGGTTCAGAGGAAGACCCAGGCCCACCCCCTCTTCATCCTAGGGCATGCAGGGAGGAATGGAGAAGAGAGCGATGTGGGTTGGGTGGCTTACGGGGGAGGAAAGGGCCCTGATTCCCTTCATTGGCCACAGCTGGGAGGAGAGTTTAAAAGAAATGCATGCTGAGTGTGGCAGCTGCTGAGAGCAAACGTGAGTTTATCTTGTGTTGACTTTGTTATCTGTGCTCCTGGCATCTTCCCAACCATGTTGAGTTATTGCCATGCCTTCACATCTGGAATTCTTGCTCATGCCTTCACATCTGGAATTCTTGCTCATGCCCTGCTGGACTAATCACCTCATTTTGCCTTGATTGGACTTATAGTTACAGTTTTTGTTGACCACGTTTTGGACTTGATTCTCTGCAAGCCAAAAGCTGTTCCTTTGTAACCAGGACATCGGGGGCAAAGTTGGAGCTAATACGGGGACCCCTACTGATCATCTGACTGTGTTGCCTTTGTGCCACACCCCTTTGGGTCATCACAGAACCCTTCTGGGCTGCCACGGGAGGCAATTTGTGGGCTGCCACGGAACTTGGGCCTGCGGATCATCTGCCTGCCCTTGTGGGTTTGCCGAGGCTCAGTGAAGGGACCCCAGTCTCCTGCACCTGCCCCCCCTCCCTGCTCTTTCCAAAGTGCCCCCCACCCTCCACATCCCGGAGGAGGCAGCAGCTCAGTGGGCGCAAAGTGTGACTGCAGCAGAGCAAACTGAGATCTTCTGGTGGGGAGTACGGAGGGTGTGTGTGTCCAAAATAAAAAGCAGTAGAAAAATGTTTTGACCGAGGGGGCTGCAGGGGGCAGGCATGACCCTGCCCCGGAGACTCTTAACTTCCCAAAGGCTGGTGGTCTCCGGCCCACAGGGGCCCTGCCAGCTGAACAGGTGCGAAACACAAGAGTGACACAACTGTGCCCATCAGGGACGCAATACGTTGTGTGGGGTTTTGTGTAGGTTATCTTGGCAAAGAACTACTCATAAGCAGAAAGGCCCGGGGTGTTTGCAGATGGCAGGGCTGAACCGGGGGTGGTGGTGGTGGGGGGAGCAGGCAGGTGTGGGTGGGAGCCAGGAAACATCTGGAAGCATCTTCCCACAGACGCAGCTGGCGATTGCTAATTAATTCCAGGCAGGGAAGTTAGAAACCCTCCTGCCTCCTGCCGTTTTTGCCACCCCACAACCGGGCACTGGACCCTTCCCTTTCAGGGGGGGGGGGGGGGAACGGGGGGGGGGGGGGGGGAAAAAGGTTTCCTGCTCTCACGGACCCCAGAAACACCAGATCCTTTCTCACCCCTCTGCTGGCAAGGCTTAAGACACCCTGGGTGTGGGGGACTCCTACAAATGCTTGACTACCAGAGGAATGCCCTCCCCCTGCCCCCCATGGCCCACCTCTGCCAGCAGGAGAAATTCCCAGAGGGGCAAAGGAGACGGGCGTCCTTCACTCCCAGAGCAGCGGAGATAAGACCCCCTGCAAAGGGGAAGGGGCTGTCTGGGCAAAGCTTGAGGAAGAGGGCTGGCGGCACAATGACAAAGAGGGCCTCTGCAGGCCCACCCTGTGCCTGACCCTAGTGGGACCCTCAAAACCCCCCATCCCTGGCAAAAAAAATGCCAGCTGGGACCCCCCCGGGAACCACATACATGTCTGGCAGCGATCCGGGACGATCCAACGACGTTCCCTTCCCCATCCAGGACGTCGATCCCTTCCTCCAGTTCTGTGTGTCTCATCAGGACCACGTTGCAAATGTTGGCACTTGCTGGGGTTGGTTGGGGGAGGGAGGGAGGGAAGAGCTGAAAAGCCGTGCTGGAAGGAGAGCCCACCCCTCACGAGATGGGGGAAAGCCCCCTGTCCCTACTGTTCCCCCAATCCCACAGAAGGTAGTTAGAACTCGAACCCTGGGCTCTCCGATCCCCCCCCTCCCCCGTGGACCTGGCGGGAGAGGGCAGAGGATCTCACCTACGGCAGGAAATGGCACAAATCTCTGGATCAGGATCCGGGTGGCTGGCGTGAAGTGGTTGGCTCGCTGGATGAGAATGTTAAGGCCCACCTGCAGGGGAAGCGAGGCGAGGGAGGTCAGGGGGCTGAGCCCCTCCCATGCTGGGTGTCCAAGGGAGGGATTCCTCCCACTTCTGCCCTCCCCCAATTCCCTCTGCTCAATGCTCATCAACTGAAGGTAAAACCCTTCCTGGAGAGCCTTATAGCTCCCGCTGCCTTAAGAAAGTTCAGAACATCCTCAAAGATCCATCTCATCCTGGGCACCCCCTTTTTTTTTTTTTGAACTATTACCATCTGGCAGACGGTACAGGATAATAAAAACAAGGGCAAATAGGCTGAAAAACAGCTGCTATCCCAGGGCAGTAACTCTACTGTAATTCTACTCTGGTGCAGTGGTTAGAGTGCAGTACTGCAAGCTACTCCTGCTGCAGCCCAGCTGCCTACAATTTGGCAGTTCGAATCCCACCGGGCTCCAGGTTGACTCAGCCTTCCCTCCTTCCGAGGTGGGTAAAATGAGGACCCAGATTGTTGGGGGCAAGAGGCTGACTGACTCTGTAAATGGCTTAGGGAGGGCTGCAAAGCACTATAAAGCGGTATATAAGTCTAAGCGCTATCGCTATAGTGCAATATCAATGCGCTATAGGGGTTTTCAATTCCATTGCATAGAATGCGAAGGGTCTGTGTTTGTGTTTGTTTTCATAGTCATGATGTACACGGAAGATTGTATTTAAATTTCGTGGTATGAAGTGCAATGACAATAAAGTATCATGTGGCAGGCCCGTGAGAGCAAAACTGGGGTCTCGCTGAAGCCCCTTCCCCCAAAACCCTGAAGAAGAGCCAAAGGCTCTTCTGGCCTCACCCGGTTCCAACAGGAGACAACCTGTCTCCAAACCGACAATCACAAAAGCGTGGCGAGGGGAAACCACAACACTCCTATCCTCCACGTTGGCATCTGCTCTTTCCAAAGAAGCCCCCTGGCCCTGTCGGATTAGGGGGGCACAGCGGTCAAGCAAGCGAGGAACCTTTAATTCTACCCCTTGCAAGGTCAGAGGCAAAGCCCATCGTCCCCTTCCATTTCCCGAGGAGAAGGTTAATGGCTTCCACCAGAGAGAGAAGGGCAGGAGGCAGCCGAGACCGGAGGCTGCTGCTCCTTGCAGCCAAAGCCGACTTCAAGGCCTCGGCACGGTGTTAAGTGGTCAGCGGAGACGGGGCCGGTGGGGGTCCTTCTGTCCACGGGAGATGCCGGTGGGGGATTCGCAGACTATCAACGCCATCGGCGGTGGCTCCTGGCAGACAATTATCAAGGTGAGCCGAAGGACGGAGGGGGGCAACCGTCACCAGAGAAGTGGTGTTGCTGAGAGGCGGGGCAGGGCAGGTGACCGGCGGGGAGGAGGGAAAATGAGAAGCGGGGCAGGAGAGCTGGACCAAGGAGCCAGGACCCTGGGACAGAAGAGGGGTCAGCTTGGCAGCATCTCGCGGGTCGGTCTACCGCAGGGGTAGGCAAGGAGGCCAACTTGACGACAACTGTGGACTTCAACTCCCAGAATTCCTAAGCCAGCTGTGTCCCCCCGCATATCCAAGACTGAGCCTGCTCATTGGCTGAAACTGGGGAGATGGGAGGGACTCCCTTGGGGGGGCCCCCTCCACCTCTATGGGGCAGCACAAGACCTTGGCCTGGTGAAGCACTTCCTCCCCACGATCCTGGGTGCCCGGACCCCCTCTTGCCACTCCCACACCAGCCCTGTGGGGACCCTCACTCCACAGGCTTTGGGTGGGGGATCTTCTTGCTGCCAGA